GTTTGTGTGTGTGTGTGTGTGCGAGAGTGTATTTCTTTGGAGGTGTGTTTTTGCTTGTGTGTGTGTGTTCATTTTCTTGAGTGCTACTGCAGTCCATTAAACTCCATAACACCGTTTCTGAAGTCATTTTTAAAACATTAATTCCTTATTCTTCTCATGAACAACAGGTCTGGAAAAGCATCTCCGTCACCCTCTGCATCCATAACACAAACACACGGATGCTGTTAGTATCCACGGCAACCTCAATAAGAGCCAATGATGACTCACCAAATGATGGAGCGAGAGCAGTGAGTCTGAGCGTGTACGAGACGGAGTGTGGACGTGTCTTCAAACACACATAATGCTCTTAAAATCACTTCTAAAGCAATGTTTCCAGACGTCTATAATTTCAGCCACCAACTTTAGACAAAAAAAGAGACATGAAAGCATGTTACACACACACACACACACACACACCGAGACGTGTGTGAGAAGCGGAACTTATAAATGTCTTGTTTATACACAATATGCAGATGTAATGAGGGTGAAGCGTTTATGTAAATGTGTGTGTGTATCACTGCTGGCTTCTGTTTTATAACTCCACTCCATCAAAACAAAGTCATTTGCTTGCATTTCTCTCTCTCTCTTCTTCATTTAACCCCTCGTTTTCTGTTCAAAGAACTAAAATTACCTTCTGTTAGCCCATCCGGATTCACTTATGAGCAGCCAAGAGCCAAATGCAGTGTTTCTTACAGAAACTTTTGGGATGTGATATTTACTATTTTTCAAAGCGACAATTGCGAAAAACAAGTGTGGAAATTGACAAACTCGTTCGACCTTTGCTGAAACACTTATGTTTACTCAAATTTTTCTTAAGCGGTTATTTAGTGTAAAAAAAAATAAACATTTTAAGTTGTAAATAAATTACAAATTATTGGAGTATGTTTTACACTAAAACACTATTTCAATATTTTTTACTTAAAAATGTAATTAAATGTGTCACTTGCCATTTTTTTTTGTGAAATTTTATAACAATTTTTGAGAAAATTGTTTCAAAGTAAGTCACTTTCAGTGTAGGTGAGGAAACGGTTTAATACCTTTCTGTAGTTAAAATTTAAATACTTTTAAAGATGTTTAATTACAGTGAAGCTGTTTATAATTTAAAGACATTAAATCACATTAAATCGGTATCTTCTTAATAAAAAAACTACACTATTTAAAAAGGGTCATGCTACTGATAAATGTAGTTATTATATTACTTATTTAGTTATTATTACTAAATAAGTTACTCCTCAAAATTGTTTATGTATTTCCAGTACTGTATATGATAAAAATCAATCAATCAATAAGAGTACACACACTTTAAAGAATAGCATGTTATATATCAATCTATATCTGTTAACTGTTACATATTTATTACATAGTTAAAATTTTTATAGCTTTAAAGAAGTTTAAATTATAAGTTATAAACAGCTTCACTGTAATTAAAGTCATTAAATCACAGATTTATTCTCAGATTAAAAATAGTAAAAAAAAAATAAAATAAAAAAAAGCTAATTTTGCTCTGTGTATAACTTCCATTAAAAACCCAAACAAATGTATCACCAAAAAATAAAAAAATAAAAAATGAGGGTGATGATTAGGACTAATTTGCATTAACAACAAAAAAAAATGTATATAATAGAAGGTAAAACAAGCAACATTGTTTAATTAAATGTCAATGCAAAATGTATGACAAATTATTGAACAATTAACATAAAAAATTGAAATATGAATAACTCAGATTGTTGAATAAGTGCACTTAGTTATTGCATTTGTTATAATAAAGCACTATGTGTATCTTCCGAATGGAAAAACTACACTATTTAAAAAGGGTCATGCTACAATAAATATAATCATTATAGCTCTTATTCAGTTATTATTATACTACTTTTTATTTAGCTACTCTTCAAAATTGTTCATGTATATGACAAAAACCAAAAACATCAGAATATTAGAAAAATAAATATGAGTACACACTTTAAAGAATAGCATAAATGGATCAAAGATGGTAGCGCTGTTTAACTGATGAGTATTTAGTTTGTGTTTAGCACATTCGTTAGCAGTGATGAGTTGAACAACAAATTATTTATTGGTTTAAATGAGTACATTTAGATTGTATTTTTACCAGAAAAAAAGTCCGGCGGTGATGATTCCAGGGCATATGGAAACCCTGAGAACAAACCACAGACAGACAGTCTGAGGAAAAGTGTGTTTGTGGAGAGAAAATGTGCCAAAAAAATAAGAGAGAGCTGGCAAGAGACACATCCAGAGATTAGAGAACAGATCAGCTTGTTATTAACAAAACACACACACACTCAAACGCACTCACACACGCACTCACTCACACACACACTCACACACACGGCACTCACACACGCACAAACACACGCACAAACACACACACACACACACACGCGCACTGGTCTAAACTGAAGTCTATTGTCTGACAGTTAGAGGTTAATGAAGAGGAAAGAGAGGCTGCTGAAGTAACTAGTCCACTCGTCTCTGAGGTTGTCATGGAGAGTTCGCTGTAGTGATGATGTCACACACAAAGTGACAATTTAATCTATTTAGTGCTTCGCTGTTGCCATGACAACAACAAACCGGCATCCATCCACCTGATGAGAGCTTCAGTGAGCAACCTGTAACCATGGTGACCTGTGGCACGACACGGATCTCCTGCTGACATCACATCTGCTACAGGAAGAGTGTGTGTGTGTGTGTGTGTGTGTGTGTGTAAGACAGAGAGTGTGTGTGTGTGTGTGTGAGTGTGTGAGTGTGAGTGTGAGTGTGAGTGTGTGTGTGTGTGTGTGTGTGTGATTGATTGAGAGTGTGTGTTTGTGTGTGTGTACTTGTTTATGCTACATTGTAAGTCCCCACAAGGATAGTAAAACCTGTAATTTTTGATATTGTGGGAACGGCCTGCAATCCCCACGAGGGGGAAAAAAAAATATTAAAAATAGTAAATGATGTTTATCTGAAAGTGTGTGAGAGAGAGAGAGAGAGTGTGTGTTCTCGCTCAGCTCTTTCTTCAGTCAGCTGTCAGGTTCTCAGTGGAACGATGGCGCCCTCATCAGGACAAACACTGACACTACAGCTACACACCATCTTACAAAAATCTTTAGTATCGAGTATGAAATACTTCCAGGACCAGGATTTGAGAGGTTTAAACATTCTTGAAAAAAAAAAAAAGAGAAATATTTTACCAAGCTCTGGTTTAAGTTTGAGGATGATTCTGACAAAACTTTATTATCTACATGCTCTTTCATGCTAAATTAAATTTCTTTACAGATTGTTTTGCATTGCAATATTATTATATTTTTCTAAAATACTTATTACAATTGAAAAAGTGCCCAGACATTTTTTTAATTACTATTATTCCCACTGGTGATTGTCATTACATTTATTAATTATTTACTCATTACTGTAGAGTAAAAAAGATACTGTAACAACTATAATTTAAAAATACACATCAGTTTCCACTAGTAATAATAACTTAACCATGGTACATTTTTGTTGCATAATTTTTGACAATTAAAAGCAAGAAAGAATAGGTTTGTTTTAAATCAAATCAAAGAAAGTCAGAGAGAAATGGCATGCAAAGTTGTTTATGTCCAATAAAGGGCGCAATGTTCACATGAAACCCCAGAGTAAATGACGTTAATAAATGAATCGATACTTTCACCTATCAATATACACAAACCTAACGCTGCAAAGATCATATCTCGTATTAAATCCGTCTGAAACGTTCTCTCATCATACAGCTGCTGGTTTCTCATTAGAGAAAGACACAGTCTCAAATATTCTGTTTCTGAAGCCAAATTATTATTATTATTATCATTGAGACAGATGGCATCTTGAGTTGATGCAGGGCACTGCTTGTAAAGCCTAAGATCCACTAAGAAGCTGCAGTGTAATGTTGGGACGGACTTACTTCGACACCGGACACATCGTCCCTTCTCGTACTCCAGGAGTTTGAGCGGAGGACTGCGTTCAGAAACAGAGCGCCGGTGACGACCATCCTCTCGAATCCGAGCGGCCTCTTCTTTAGCGTAAACACCCAGCTCCTGAGTGTAACGCCCATACATCTACAGACAGAGAGAGCACACTATAAACCCATGCACACTACAATACCATGCTAAACACAAATACAGGCACTGTCATTACTGAAAGATCATAAACTAATATAGGATCTCACACACACTTCCCTATATAATCATATATATATTAGTGCTGTCAAACGATTAATCGCATCCAAAATACAAGTTTTTGTGTACATAATATATGTGTGTGTACTGTGTATATTTATTATGTATATTTAAATACAAACACATGCATGTATACAGTATATTTAAGAAAAATATGTTATGTTTATATATTAAATATATTTATGTCTAATATAAGAATATAAATATATAAATGTATATACATGAAAATATCGATAATTTCTATAATTATACCGTAATAAGTTAATGTGCGTGACGTGTACACTTTGTTCTGCTGATTTCGCATCTTTCGCTGAGGTTTTATTTAGATGATTGCCTCTAGAGCTATAAATTTCCACACACACCCAAAAGGCTAAAGGTCAAAGGTCAGTTATATTAGTCTTCTTCAGTACGATGATTTTTTGTTCCTCCCTCTCTCTCTCTCTCACACACACACTCACACACACACACACACACTGTGTGTGTGTGTGTGTGTGTTGCTCTGTCAGCATTCCATACGGGAGACAGGAAGTGTTTTCCCAGAATTCCCTGCCCTGCTGAAAAGTCCAGCTCAAACCAGCTTAAGGTGGAGGCTGATGTTTGGAAGACTGTGGCTGGTTTCTAAAAGGTTATTAACTGATCAACCAGCTGCTTTAAAGCCCTGCAGCTCACAATAACTAAAACTGCTCAAGATGTTTTGAAACACAGTAGCTGGTTGATCGCTGGTCTGGATTAGGGTTTGGGTCAGTAAGATTTTATGTTTGTGAAAGAAATCTCTTCTGCTCACCAGGGCTGCATTTATTTGATCTATAATACAGTAAAAATACTGATATATTTTTAGAATCTAAAATATCTGTTTTCTATGTGAATATCTGTTAAACTGTAATTTATTTCTGTGATGCGCAGCTGTATTTTCAGCATCATTACTCCAGTCTTCAGTGTCACATGATCTTCAGAAATCATTCTAATATGCTGATTTGCTGCTCAAGAAACATTTCTGATTATTATCAATGTTGAAAACAGTTGTGCTGCACGAAATTTATGTGGAAACTGTGATACATTTTATTTTTCAGGACTCACAGATGAATAGAAAGTTCAAAAGAACAGCATTTATTTGAAATAAAAATCTACTGTAACATTATAAATGTCTTTACTGTCACTTTTGAGCAATTTAATGCATCCTTAATAAAGGTATTAATTTCTTATTGACCACAAACTTCTGAACAGATTCAGATCGGATACAAACACATCATTAATCAGTTGCTCTTGGATCACAGGTAGATTAATTCCACTGTTTACTGTCGTGAAGAGAGAAACAAACACAGAAAGCTGGCGGATCCGGGTTTGTGTTTCTGTTGATTCGTAAAGGGTTCGCGAGGTCACATGACCCACATCAAGCTGGATGTTAACTAAAACCCTTCAAAACAGGAGTTATGACGGCACGGACCGAAATACAGACGCAAAAATAAATCCAAACAAACATGCAGCAACAACAAAGCCCCCGAGAAGTGCAAAGCTATGATTATAGTGTGTATTTGTGTGCAGCTATGTGTTTGAAGCGACGCTAATTGCAGCCGGGGGCAATATTTATAACCAAAACACCACCACAACAACTGCAGTAACAACTGCACGAGAGAGACTAGAAAACACAGTATTCTTACTGTTCTCACTGAATGCTTGGTTTATTCCGTTTTATTGTATATTGTAAAAACAGTATACATTTATATAACATACTTTTAAATGCATACATTCATGAATTATGATCAAATTAAATAATTTGAAAACTTAAGCTTAACTTAAATTACTACTCATAGGGCCAGTTTTACTAACAGCTTGCGCCAGCACAACCCATCTTTTGGCGTTAAAATAGTACAGTCCGGATTTACTAAAGACGCGCAGTGACGAATTAGCGCTGAAAAAGCGTTATTATTGCGCCTGATCTTATTGAATATGCATTTGTTGGAGTTTCCCTTCAGATGCAAAAATTATGGGAGGAGAGCATTCAAATGAATCACTCAACGCAATTTACTAACATTTGCGCTTGTCAGATTACTGGTATTTGTGCCATTATTTTACGCCCAAATAAAGCATGTCTTAAAGGAGACATATTATGCCCCTTTTTACAATATGTAATATAAGTCTCAGGTGTCCCCAGAATGTGTCTGTGAAGTTTCAGCTCAAAATACTCAACAGATATATCATTTTGAAACTGCCTATTTTGAGTGGAAGCAGAAGCACACTGTTTTTCGTGCCTGTGTCTTTAAATGCAAATGAGCAGAAAAAGGCTTCCCAAAACAAAGTTACTGGGTTAATCTTTCTCACGTTTCCTTGATTGGTAGATGCACCGGGGACCTGATTATAGCACTTAAAACCTGGAAAAGTCAGATTTTCATGATATGTCACCTTTAAACTATTTTGGCTGCAATTATTGTTGCTAGGAGAGGCACCACAGAGAACAAAGAGTACGTGGTAGAAGGGAGAGAATTTATTAATTTACATATTAATTTATTTTGAATGCCAGAAGAACACATTATGCGAACATATTGTTTGCCAAGTCATGTTATTTTTAATTTGCTTCAGGAAATAAAAGACAGCTTGGAACCCTCAACTAGGAGTCAGTCAATACCAGGGCCTGTATTCATTAAAGATCTTAGTGCTAAGAGTTGCTCCTAGTAACAAAATCCTAAGAAAATTCTTAGAAATGTGGGTGTTTCCTCCTAAAATTAAAGAAAAGATCCTAGTAAAGAAAAAGTCATTCAGAACGCATCTTAACCCTTAAAAGAGGTCTTAAGGTCCATAATTGTTAGGAGTACAGATGAGGACTTTTAAGAGGCTTGAGAGTTTCTTTAGCAGTGGAGAAAATGGACGAAACATGAAGAGGGAGAAGAAATGTGTTGCACAATTCATGACAGTGAGTTAATAAGACGCTACACATTAGATCGTGTTTGTGGCTGATTTATTATAGACACGCTAACATCTCCGACACCGCGCAGAAATGCCATACCGCCAGAAATGGAAGAAAATATATTTGTAAATATGTAAATAATGCAACTATGCAGCAGTGATGATTTGGGTCTGTCACAACCTTCTATAAGCAAATTGATCACGCAAACAATCACAGCACTTTCAGAACCTTATTGTGTCGCTGTTCATTTCCTATAAAAGAAAGAGTGAAAAGAGAAAATATAGAAGAGAAACAAACAGAGATGGACACATGTAGGGAGAGAGAGAAAGGCAGAAGTAAAGCAGCGAGAGAGAGAGAGATGTTTGGCCGAGTAACAGTAGGTTTATTCATCCTGCAGTGTGAGAAGAATTTCAATTTTTCAGCGAGTGGGAGAAACGAACAAAGCCAGAGAGAAGAACGACAGCAGCAGGAAAGAGATGTCAGAGCAACCCCTAAACACAAAGACTGAAACACAACCTCTCTCTCTTTTCTCATGTACTTCAGCATGTGCTGTTGTGTAATTCCTCACATCACCATCGGGAGCGCTGTAGAGCGCCGTCAGTTCACAAAACTTACATTATTTAAAGGTGACATATCATGAAAATCTGACTTTTCCAGGTTTTAAGTGCTATAATCAGGTCCCCGGTGCATCTACCAACTAATGAAACATGAGAAAGATTAACCCAGTAACTTTGTTTTGGGAAGCCTTTTTCTGCAAGCGTCTGAGAAAACCAGCGCGTCTGATTTCGCTCCCTTGGTGACGTGGCAAAGGGATCTCATTATAATATTACCGCCCCTTAATCTGTACGTTTCGCCGTCATTGTGTTTTCACAAGCCACAACGGTGTACCAGCTCTAATGCCATGGTGAAAGTTTGAGCAAAATTCCACAGAATATATAAATACAGACAAATACATTTAGACCACTTAACTTAATGATTGCTATCGGGATGTGAAGAGACTTTCAACCAGCATAACAAAAAATGTTTCTGAAGACAATCACCTATTGCACCTTTAATTTACAAAAAATTAAGCTAAACTAAAATGAAAACTGAAAAGATAAAAATAAAAGCTAAATCAAAATATTAAAACTTATTTCAGTCAGTTGCCAAAGCAATGTGTCAATTTCTGTATTTAGTTTAAACCAAAAAGTACTAAAATTACTAAAATAAACTAAATAGTACTAAATTTTAGTACTAAAAAGCACTTAAATACTGAAATAAATAAAAACTAAAACTAAGATTGAAATAAAAATCTATTAAACCTAAATAGTATTATATATATATATATATATATACAAAAATGTACTATTGGGTACAAATAGTTTTTATTTATTCATTAATTGGTCATTTAATTGAATATTAATATAATTAATTGAAATCGGTCCTTGTGTCTATGGTACAGGAAACTGCAGAATGACAGTACCTTATTAGGATTGTATGTGGAAATGACAGTCCAAATTAGTTATTATGTGACGAGAATACGCTCTTACCAATGCACTAGGCTTAGATGTCTTATTGTTATTAATGAATGATTTTTCAAGCTGTTGTGGAGAGTGCAAAAAGCACTAAAATTAATTAAATTTAAAAAACTTAATTAAAAATTAAGCTAAAATTCAAATTAAAATAATAATAATTTCAGTTAGATGCCAGAGGAACAGGTTTAATTTTTTATTTAGTTTAAGTTGAAGCACTAAAATGACTAAAACTGACAGTTTAAATATAAATATGACATGCTATATATAATATAAATATATTTAAATATGACAATTTAAAATAAATTAACCCTAAATAGTAATATTAAAAAAATAACAAAAATGACAAAAGTATTCAACAAAATGACTCACATTTAAGCTAAAATTGAAATGAAAACTTTAAATGTAAAAAATGGCATTAAAATATTATTAAAGGGGTCATATGATGTGATTTCAAGTTTTCCTAT